GTACTAGTAAAGATTTATTTATTTAAACACATAAATATTGGTACAAGGAAGCACCAGATACATATGCGCCATACAAATCTCATTCGATTTGCTTGAGGGCTGTGATACTGCCCAGGTGCCCGAACTGAAGCAACTAGTATAGAGCTCCTAAATGGTGGGCATCCACGACTCCGCAACCGAGAATCAAATCCAGGACCTTTAGTCTCGCACCTCAAAACTCCTGAGCATGTATGTAATGGTGTGAAAGTTTAAATTCAGTCGATTTACGATATTGCGTGACCATCTTTCACTGTCTTTAATGATTCGGTAATAAAATCGATAGTGTGGATTCCGATAATCACAAAATAATGAAACAGTGTAAAGATTTCAAACACGAACAGATTGTGGTGGAGTAAATGTAGGAGAAACTTTGCGTAAATGGTTGTGCTCTACAATCTTGACAAAACAACTTAATGGTATGAAGGTTACTGGCTTTAATTCTGTTTCCTCCTTTAATTATTTCACTTCCCGTTTTTTGCGCATCAAAAGTGAGCCATGAATCAGACAGACATCATTAGTCTTGAGCCTGGTACAGATGTGCATGACCCAAGTTACCGTACCTGATTAGCCCCATGAAAAGATGACAAAAGAGATCAAAATAACGTAGTAGCAATAATAGAAAGAAAGGATAAACTTTGGGAATATGTTTCGAGAAAACAAAGTGGAAAGATATCTATGAAAGGATGCTGAAATTCAACCACTTTACTCCTTATCATTAGTTTGGAGGTTAATGCAGACCGGTTATAAAACGAAATTTTGTTTTTAAAGGGAGAGAAACTCATTCCGAACATGCTAGTATTGTTTCTCGAGGCGGTCAAAAGACTGCCCTTTGTCAGCGTTTTCGCCAAACAGGAGTATATCATCTGCGTATCTAAGTCGATAGGCGAACCTCTTGGTAAGACAAAGCCCCTTGAAAAGTTAATCGAAGGAAACGCTATTTTGAGGTAAAAATCGGTGGCAAAACTAAGTAAAAATGGGAAAAGTGTGTAACTCTGATGAACGCTAATTGAGGGTGACGATTCTGATGGCAGTTCTCCATGAGTTTTGGCTCGACAAATAGTGTCTGAGTGGAGAGTTTTCACAAGATTCTTCGGTACAACTTTCAATGACAAACATTACCAAAGAACCTTCCGGTCCAAAAAATTGAATCCTGACTTGAGGTCAGGAAATAAAGCGTAATCGGGCGTCATTAGTTATGCCAAAATCTAAAACATGGCGAAGGGTGGTAGTTTGGTCAATAAATCCAAGTCTGAAACGAGCCTGGTATTCTCCAGTTTGTTTCTCACGAACCCTAGGTAAGCGTCGGATTATTGTTGAAGCTAATATACTCGACACCGCATTGATCTGATTCCTTCATAGTTATTATAGGAGACTTTTTGTCCTTCCTTGTACGCTGGAACGATCATATATCAAGGCCAGTCAGATAGAATTACATTATGTTCCCAGGCTTCAGACAATATCGTAGTTAACTGCTAAAACTAAACCACCATTCTTAAGGATCTATGGGGTTAAGTCACTAGGGCCTGTTGCTTGTTATCATTTTAGATTACTTGCGGTCTTTTCAATCTCATTAAGTGTTGGGGGACTTGTATCGATTCATTATTTAAGTTGATTGGAGATAGATGTTAACTTCAGAATAACTGCAGGTCAGTTGAACTGTTTCCTAAAGTGTTCTTCCTATCTTTCTTACTTCCAGATTGAAATCGAATAATATTTCCGTTCTCCTTTGAAATAGCCTCACTAAAAACTGTTTTTTTATTACCTATCCCCTTAATTAATCGATTGAGTTATCTAGTGTTACCTACAGTCACTGCCTGTTTCATCACTTGTATTCTGTTGCCCACCACTCCTCACGATTGTTGCGTAAACTTGTCTAGTTTATTTTTGAGTTGTAGTAGCTCTTCAACGTTCTCCGAACCTATGAGGACGAGTTTTGGAGCCCCTATGCATTCAGTGGATGGCACCGAAAATCAGTGGTTTTTCCTAACTTTTGTTTAAGTTCTTCATAGATGTCATCGTCATATCTGAAGCTATCTGGATATCTTTAGGCTTCTTCAAGATGAACTGCTTCCCTATGACCGACTAGATACCTGGGTACCCAATTCTTCCCTGAGTACACCTTCGACCTTATCTTCGGATCAATATCTAGGGGGTCTCTTGTTGTGACTTTTATTCGTCCAGTAAAACGCACAGAAATACGTGCTCTCATTAGGGGATGATAGGAGTCTAAGCATGTACTCCAGTAGAAGCGACAATCTCTTGTCGTGCCTCTCCAACGATGGATGATGGAGACATGATCTATTTGTGTTTATTATGGTGTTGATATTGGGCGTTGAAATTTCCTGCTATAACTACTACGTCTGGGTTCCTAACTTTCTGAAGGATGTCATGAAGTTTCTTGTAAATCTTTTATTTACTCCATCTAATCTGCAGTCAGTAGAAGCGTATGCAGAAAAGATAAAGAGGCAAAGGCGTGTCTCTATCTTTCTGAGTTTTTGATGTGACATCAAGACGTATAACATATAAGTGGCTGTCAATAGAGATCAAGTCATAAAGTATCTACCCAACTTTCAGACTTAATGCTATACCTACACCGGCAAAAGAGTTTTTGTCACGTTTGCAGATACATAAAGGATATATCGCACCAGCTCTCCATAATGGCTACGTGAGGTCAAGTGAATGACCATGCTAGAGTTCTGCATGTGTGTTTCACAGAAACAGAACATACAGACGATACGAGATTTTAGGGTCTTAGCTAGTGACGCTAGTTCTCCGACGTTATATAGGGTTTGGACATTGAGAACTCTGACATGTAGTTTGAAGGGCAGTTTCGGGAGACCTGGTATAGCATTTTGGGAACTCGAATTGGTAGCGATGGTGGTACATGCTGGAAAACTCAAAGGCAGAAGATGAGGATTGGTAGTGGAAATAAAAGTAATACTTAGTGATGAAGACTGGCTATGATTATGAACGAGATTATCTCGCTAGTCGTTAGAAGTATGAAAGCATTTGTCACTTCTCAGTTGGTTCTATACTTTAAAAGGCCTTGGCGCTGGAGACGATTTGTGGAACACGGTATGTCATTTTAACGCCGACCTTTTCTAGCCTATTCATTCCCACAAAAAGGTCTCAAGCAGTTGTCCCTTGGGCACTGCGATCACGCCCCCAGGTCGTTAAGACCAACACTAATCCGACTTCTTTTTCAGGTTCACCAAGAAATACCCTTTCACGGTGTGGGCAGCCGGGAAGTGATATTAGCCCTCATACCCGTAACAGCACACGAGACCAAGTTGGTCACTTTCAATTCCTTCCTACTCCTGACTGGTGCTTCCTTGTGTTTAAATATGTGTTTAAATAAATAAATAAATAAAGTCACACTCCACTAGATGGAACATATTACAGCTGGATTCATATGATTTATCTCTGAATAGAACACTATAAAACTTTCTGACCTCTAATTCGAAAGACCACAGATCACCATACATTTACTTGTCTTCAGTTCATTTATGTCGTTTGGGTGATCCGTACTGATATTTGTCGCCATTTTACGTGACTGTACAGATAAAAAGTATATCTTGAACTAATATACTGTTGTGTTAATGAGTTACATAACACAATTTGTTCTCTTTTCTAGAAATACATATATTCGATGTGTATATATTATTCTTAGACTTTCTACAGGTCAATGTTAAGTCCTGAAATTTCGGTACGTGAACTAAGGCTAAATAAGTCTGAATCTCAGTGATTTAAACACTCGACTATCAGTAAATAGGATGAGTTTGAATCCAATCTATTTGCTTCCATATGAACTGGTTAGTAACACAGTTGAGAATTTGGGGTGAATAACTCATATTTCAGAAACTAAGTCGACATGTTATTTTCAAAAGTAGATACAAGTCTTACAAATTCACATCATGAGTGTAGCATGGAAAAAAATCCATGCTAATCTTCTCTGTATCGTTCCAATTTTAGTATATGTACTGCCCCCAAATGCCCTGGTACGGCCGAGAGTGGGGAGAGTACGCTCTCCCTCTCGAAATGCTCTCACATGGCCAGCGAATATATAGCCTCTGCCAGGGAAGTCCTACTCACTGCCTTCTCGTGGCAGGGGTGTTGTTTACGAAATTGAGAGGACGAAAAGCGAATGTCCGGCGCTATAACCGGATTGGTGGACACGGAGGGTCCACCTAGGAGAGTTGGAAAACCCTCATTCCAAACCAATGGTGCACATGGGCTCCAGTATCCTGATGGAACGAATGGCGGACGAACCTGTCATTAGTCAACGGCTACCATGGGACTGCATCTCCTTACGATGCTCCACTACCTTGTGGATCAGACCTTTAGGTCAAAGGCTCGGGGTGTGGTCCCCTAAGAAAACCACCTGCTTCGGTTTGGGCACCCGGGCAGTATCACAGCCCACACACAAATGAATGAAATGATGAACTCTGTTGACGATTCTATTCCTGCTCATATTATAAGCAAGACAATTAACATTATTATTATTATTACCTTTATTATTATTATTATTATTATTATTATTATTATTATTATTATTTACCATATCGCTAACTCACCCCCTTTTATCCCCAATTTGTGTAATCTTACTTTTCAACTTATGCAGCAGCTCGCCCATGGTGGAAAATCTGTCCTATCTAAACCATCTCCAGTCACTGTCTGGTTGAAAGTGAATGCTTCCACCGATAATGAATACTGAGGCAGTCTTTCTGAAACCACGTACGCCGTTCAAGCTGGCTTCCTTCAACGTTCGCACACTAATGCATATCAGACAACAGATAGGGCTGGCTATGTCTTTGGAAGGTCTTAATGTTGACGTTTGTTGTCTATCCGAGACCCGTATTCAAGACTCTAGTGAAGTACTACAAATCCGCTCTCCATCTGTCGCCTCGAAGAGCTTGTTCCACGTGCGCTTATCCGGGGACCCTGTGGCATCTTCGTCTGGTCTTGCTGGCGTTGGTGTCACACTAAGCGCTAGAGCTGAGGCAGCACTAATCGATTGGATCCCCATTAACAGTCGGTTATGTGCTGTTAGATTAGAAAGTTCAATCAAAGTGAGAAGAAATCGGCGTGAGAAACGGTGTCTTTTCGTCATCTCCGCCTATGCCCCGACAGATTGCAGCCCGGATGCAATCAAGGATGAGTTTTACCATCAGTTAACAGTTCTTCTCCAGAAAGCGCGTTCGACAGATATTGTAGTACTAGCCGGAGACTTGAATGCACAGGTCGGGCGTCTAGGCACAGAAGAGAGTCGTCTAGGTGGCCGATGGGGACTTGTGGTCGCTGGACAGATAACGGGGACCGTTTGCTGCAACTGTGCACAGACCACAACCTGTTTCTGGCCAGCACTAACTTCCGGCACAGTCATCGCCGGTGTACCACCTGGCGTCCTCCCTCTGCATCCCAATCCTGGACTCAGATTGATCACATCGCGATCAGCTACCGCTGGCGTGGTTGTGTACAAGACTGCCGCTCCTTTTGGAGTACCTATCTGGAGTCTGATCATGCCCTGGTCTGCGCCAATCTCACCTTACTTTTCAGTGGCCGAAGGATTGACCACCACCAACGGATTGATGTTAGTAAACTGGCTGCAACTTCTGTTGCAAGTAAGTATCGAGCGGAGCTAGCCTCCAGGCTAGCTACCACCCCACCGAAAAGTATAGATGAGCATTGGTTGCATCTTCACGACGCCATGAAAATGGCGAGTAAAGCCGCTTGCGGCTTCGCGAAACGTCCCGCCTATAAGCACTGGGTTTCTTCTGGCTCCTTACAACTGATGGAAGCCCGTCGGTCTACTCCGGGTGACCGTGAGTTTGACCACAAACGAAGGCTGTTACGTAATGAAATCTGGCAAAGCTTGCGTAAGGACCGGGAAGCCTGGTGGTCGAAGCGTGCTAATGAGATGGAAGCAGCAGCTGCATCTGGTAACTGCCAGAAGCTCTTCCAACTCATCCGAGCCACTGGCAGCAAGAAGTCTGGTGTGAGTGAAACAATCTACGAGGATGACGGGATGCCAATCACTAACATCTGTCGACGTCTTGGACGATGGGCGGAATTTTTCGAAGGGCAGTTCAACTGGCCTCCGGCAACATCAACCAGCTTGTCCTGCCCCCCATGGCCGGTGACGACTGATCCACCAAACGAGGCGGAAGTCCGCAAGGAACTCCAACTCTTGAAACGTTATAAATCACCTGGCCCAGATGACTTACCTCCGGCTCTTTTTAAAGATGGTGGTGACTTTCTGGCTAAGGAACTGACGGCGTTGTTTGTAAAGGTTTGGGAGCAAGAAAGTGTTCCAATATCATGGAATGAGTCAATAGTCGTCCCTATCTTTAAAAAGGGTTCACGTTGTTCTTGCAATAACTATCGGGGGATAAGTCTACTTTCGATTGCGTCCAAACTATTGGCTTCTATCATTCTTCGTAGGTTGTTTAAAACCCGAGAACGATTGACTCGCGAGGAGCAGGCTGGTTTTCGTTCTGGTCGAGGATGCATTGATCACATCTTCACCCTCCGCCAAATGTTAGAACACCGTCATACTTATCGCAGGCCAACAATCGTAGTGTTTCTTGATATCAGGGCGGCCTTCGATTCGTTGGACAGGACTGTTCTCTGGGATTGTCTATTGAAGAAGGGTGTGCCTGAGAAGTTCATTAACATCTTAAAGGCCCTGTATACGAACACCTCAGGCAGAGTGAGGGCATACAACCACCTTTCTCCCTTGTTCCATTCGAGCAGTGGGGTTAGACAGGGTTGCCCGATCTCACCATTCCTCTTCAACTTTGCCATCGACGACATCCTGGAAACAGCTCTGGTGGATGTAAGTAATGGCGGTGTGGATATGTTGCCTGGAGAACGACTTCTCGACCTTGAGTATGCGGATGATATTGTCAAGACAACCCAGTTGGTGTCACCATTTTGGAACACCGACTTTGGTGGCTTGGACATGTTTTACGAATGTCGTCCCAGAGACTTCCACGTCGTGCATTATTTGCCGACCCTGGGACTGGTTGGAGAAAGCGGAGAGGAGGTCAGTGTATGACATGGTGTCGTGGCATGAAAGAGAGCTGCAAAGGGCTAGCTTTTGTTGGTCCTTCACAACTCCCTGGTTGGGGTCCGAGAGATAGTGCAACACAGTGGCTAGAGACGTTATCAGATATGGCTCAGAATAGAAGCCAGTGGCGATCCTGCTGCAACCTTCTTTTACTTTCTACATAAAGAATGGTTCTAACTTTCCTAACTGAAAGAGTCTTCTGGTTGTACATTTCAGCCCGCCTTATCTTTTCATCCCTTCTCTTCCTACTTTCATTATTTTGTGTGGCGCATATGTACCTGGTGCCCTTTTGTACCAATATATATGTGTTTAAATAAATAAATAAATATGGAAAAAAATACTAGTAAATGCCAGCACTTACAGTGTTTCATCTGGTCGATAATGTATGACAGCTTTTTTACAACCAACAGCCTCTTCACCCATGGAAGCATGGAATTCAAAAAATTTCTCAAATACAGCGGCAAAACAGTTTCTTTTTAATAACGCAGCTTTTTGTGCTATTAAGGCATAATTTTCTGGTAAATGCTCTAGATCATATAACAATGAGACACTGCAACCATCTTCAGGTTTATTTAATAAATACTGGCCGTATTCTCTTCTTAATACCTGTTTTGTAATATTTGAATGAATGTATAAGACCATAAATATTGACAAACCTCGTTTGCTCCATGTTCCTGTAGTTCCTGAAAAAAGTTTAGTGTTATACTGACAAGAATTTTTGATCGGTCATTTGGAACACTTCTTAAATGATAAATAGCACCATCAAAATCAGCTAGTGTTTGGTTGAATTTCTCGAATTTTAAACTAGCAGTGATAATTGGATAATTAGCAACCCAAGAAAGATTCCCTACCCATTTTTTGCATTCTCGAATCGATATAGGAGGGCTTCCTCAACCGCTCTATTGAAAATTTCCAAAAATATCATTATTCATTTGTATTGCGAGATGATCTTTAATGGTATTTTGGCTTGCTGGATTAAAAGTACAGCATGGCAATGACTGGTGTCAACACATATGAACGATAAGTTTACGATCAATCAAAATTCTTGTTATGAATAAAAATAAAATTGAACAGTGTGAAGTTTAAAAAATAAATAACTTTTATTGGCAAATTTCGAAAACGATACTACAAATTCGAGGACGTTTAGAAAAAGAAGCAAAACAGTTACCTCACTGATATAATCGGCTTTTTATAGGCTCTCTACTATAAATTTCATTTCTCTTACTGACATAAGTTAAAAAAGTAGCAAGTGGAAAATAGGGGTCTTCAAAAGATTATTATCCAATTGTAATAAAAGACGTTTTCCCACTTGGCTACTTAGCTTCTTTTGATTCTTACGGTTCTTGTTACAATATAATTTCACCGAAATTCCATCATTCAGTAAGTAAAGCATGAACGAAGTGATTATTCCGGATCTGCCTGAAGCTTTTTACTTATTATGGATTCACCGGGGTGCGTTAATGATGAGTCATTAGTAAGAGCGCATTGATATGATTTGTTTACTAAAGATTAGATAGCAAAGAACTGGAAATCAGCAATTTATAAGGCTAAATCAAGTAGTCCTGGTACAGTACCAGCTACTTCAAAACAAAGGAAAAACGTATGCCGATGGGGAATAATTGTCAACTGTAAAATGTTATGATTTGGACAGATAGGTGTGTTCCTGACAATTAACTAAAATACTCACCAACGAAGAACATGGTGATAGTATTTTGCTTACATCCACCATGGTGCTGAAAATTTCAAAACTAATGTAGATCAACCGATTCTCCATCCCTATGATGTCTGGTTATAAATTGATGTTTTAACAAAATTTAGATATTTATTAGTGTTTTTCACTCGGTTGGAGTTATTTGCTATTTATTACTCTAAAAGACATGAGGCCAAACTACGAAAAAGAAACTCAGCTAAAAGGGTCGGAGTGATAAAACCAAGAAGCTAAACAAAAGTGAACACAGTAATTTACTTTAGACATGTTGGACTTCTAACTTAGGACGGATGTTCTCCTGTAACATTCAAACGAAATTGCATGTGGGTTTAATAAACTACAATTACAATAGTAGGTTATTACATACTGTAAAAAATAAGTATTAAATGTCTATCTTTATAAGAGCCTTACTGAGCGCACCGATGGTCTCAATTTGCATACAAAAAACACTTGAGATAGAATTAAACACTCAAATGCGTATACCGCAATAATCGTACAGTTTAACTTCAGATTAAAAACTTTTAACACTGAAATACTTAAATTCTACCTGACAACAAATCCGTAAACCACGGCTGAGGTCTACGGCCTTCAGAATAAATTTGCGCCCTTCAATATTTAACAACATCCAACAAAAACCATGTTTTATGGAATTTTTCTCAATAGAAATATAAGGGTATGTGATATTTCAACTTTATATCTGAGCTGTGAACTCCAAACCTTAGATAGCGATAAAGTACTCTGAAAACTCCTTTTACTTATTAGAAAAAGTATATTGTAATAATTTTATTACGAAATATAAATGTGATGAATCATTTCATCTGTTGGATATCGAAATCCAACAGATTCCTGGCTAACGAGAAGCCATAAAAGTATAATTATCTCGAAGACAAATTGAACCACAATAGTTTTGGCCTTGTAAGTTATGACAAAGTAATCGTGCAAACTGATTTTCATCATGTCATCGAGCATTTGTCTGTGGAGAGAGTGTAAAACATGTAGTGTAGTGCTTCGTTAATCGATCGTCTTGATAACCGTTATTATAACAATCTGAACGGTGTATAATATCAGAAGACAAAGGGAAGCAGCAACTACATTTTTATTGATAAATAACATGGGCTAGAAGGCAGTGAGCACATGAGTAAATGTTAGCGAGCGAAGAAAAAGTAACATACATGGGAGATGGCTGGTAAGCCAACTCGAGAGCGAAGCTAAATAATGAGTATTGGAGATGGCTGGGAAGCCAACTCGTTATAAGCAAGCATTGATCAACATTTATAGTCAGACTAAAATGAATGACAGACATGTGATATGTAGGATAAGAAGGGTGCATACACATACGCTCATATAAAAAAATAGTCAAGGTCAATAAGGGAATAATTAACAAGATCAAAATATGACTCATAACGTTATAGGTGAATTGGCTTGTCCAGAAACTAGAATAAGCTATGTAGGTGTAATATAGTACACGACGTTACACTACTCCCCACAAACATTGGCACCAGTTGCCTGAAATTGACACATTGAGAAAACAACTCACTCTCTGTTGATTTTTCCTCCACAACAGCCAGCACTGACGTGGTAAAATTACTGTCTAAACACTGACAATCAGAGTCCGTGAAAGGAATACCACAGTTTACAGAAAAAGATAATCATTACATGCTGCAAGAACCGAGGAGTTTCCAGTATGTCCGTAAGGTGATTACACATGAGACGTTTTCCTTCCTTTTTCCCATTCTGAATCAATAATGTCTCATTTTTATTTGTTAGTATGCCGAAAACATTTGAACTGAATTTCTGTGTGTTCATTTTATAGGCCAGACTTTCATTACACGTTATTTTCAAACTTCCGCCTTCCAGTTTAGCAGCCATTCCTCAGTATGAGTGACTCACGAAATGTTTTACATTTCCATCATCTCTGTCATCTATAAATGATGTCGCTTTCCATTCTGCTCAGTTTTGTTTAGTTAACAAATTGTTTGAGGTTGTCAGTTTTCCAAATGATGCGAATAATTTTATTTGTTTTAAGTATGTAAGATTGTTTGTGAACGTGGACAAGTTCTCTCTAATTTTCTAATATTGTGAGACAATTCTAAGTTTATCTTCGGTGGAAAACTAAGCAAAACTTCCTAACATATTTTGTCAGCTCTGTGTGACCAAGTCAATCAAAGAGCAGATTCTCCCACTGTTTGGCTTCTTTGATCCTCAAATTCTTACTCAATTTTCTATGTTCACTGATAATTCATTTAATGCATCCAGCCTGAAGAATCATTTGGTGGAGATTTAATGTTATTTCATGTACATTTATGTGGTTGGTACGGTTTTCCTGATGGAGTACGTATATTTCACACAATCAATAAATTGATGAGGAGGAAATCGTTGAGGAAATCATTGTTAAAAGTCAAGCAGAACCTGAATTTTATGAAGACAGTCTAAAAGGGATCCAGTAATAGCTTCTTGGCTTTTATTACCAAGAGGATTAAGAGAAATGATTTAAAATCGTAACTTCGCATACGGGTAAAACTACCACAGCCATCTGTAGTATGCTGATGTTAATGATCGGATGAAAGATAATGATAATAACAAAAATAATTGATTTCTTTAAGTGTACAAAGATGCTCTAATTTCGATCCAATCAGTCCGTATGTGATCTCAAGTCATCCATACGTAAAATGGATTGATGTTATAACTGTATTACCGTTTTCTTGAAGTGATGAGAAACTTATGTATGCGAAGCCATCGGCTTAGTTATGCCTGTATGAGTCTCCTGAAGCAAGTAAGATGGAAGAAGCACCCCCACGACGTAATGCTACAATAAGAAGATGTGAAAGTTAAGTTAGTTGCAGCAGTTAAACGCCAAGTCCACATGGATACATGGTGGGTTGCATAGCTCAGAAAGATATCCGAGCACACTAAGAGGAGTTTAAGGTTTCATTTCCGCCTACTGTTATTCTTACACTTTCGTCTGTTGACACCGTATGTAATATGATTTAATTAACTTACCTACTTGCTGTTTTAAACAGTCGCAAACTCTTAATTATTAGGCATTTCAGTTTTTCCCTTGATTATTGTTTTACAATGAAACCAACCTACTTCATGTCTGGTTGTGTGATAGCTACTGGTTCCCAAAATCTTATTGCCCCGAGACAAACGCACTAACTCATTTACAAGGTACAGAAACTTACCGCAAAATATACAAACTAACCAGAACTATTGAAGTCAAATCTTTAGACTTCAGCCCATTGTAAATTGCCAAAGACCTGGAACTGTAGTGAAACACATAGTAATATTTTCAGACTCACTTAGCAGAGGCACATTACCGGAAGTTTGGAAGCTGTCTCACTTAACACCATATTTCAAAAGAGGTCGACGCAGGGAACGTTCAAGCTACCGAACGTTGACTCTTCTCTCTATACCTTCAAAAATTATGGAGTCCCTGATATGCGATTATATACACGACTATTTATTATCCTTAAACTTTTTATTATTATTTTTATTATTATTAATGGCTTTATTCAATATTATAATCTGATACAACATGGAATTCTCAGCACGAGTTATTTCAACAAGTTTTTTACCAAAAAAAACCAAAAACCAAAAAAAGAACCTAAGAAAAACAAACAAAAAATACAGAAAAGGAACGAAAAAGGTTTAAGAAAAACTGAGTTTACACAAATTATCAAATGCTTAAGAGTACAGATTATTTACTAGGTCAACTCTAACAGCCGGTTCGTCACAAAGTAAATTTGCTAGGTAAGGTATTACAGAACTTATAGACTTGCTTGCGTGTATGGATTTTAATGTATTTACGTCTCGTTCTACCAGAAGATATACAAGGAGAATGATATGAATGAAGCGGATGGTTAGTATCTGATAAGATAACACCTGCCAAGAGTCTGCAAGACTTAAGATGTCTATCCACAAGCATATTAATAATGACTTCAAAAGATTCACCACATACCTTGCAAACCGCCTTCAGCACTCTACGCAAAAAAGCAAAGTCTTTTCTCAAAAGCCCAGGAAAGAATAATGGAGAACAATATATAATAATACGTAATATGCAGGAATTTACAAATTGTAAGAGTAAATGGCTAGTAATCCAAAAGCATGCAGCCTCTTTATGTAGTATGTCAAATGGTAAACTTTTTCCGATAACAGTAAAACATGAGAAGACCAAGAAAGATCAGAGGAAAAAATGACACCAAGATATTTGACCTTCGACACTGTGTTTATTGAGGAGTCTCAAATGGCACAAGCATTATGGGATCCCAAAATAGAGTATAGGTTCTGTCCATGTCTCAAGCTAAGGTTATCAGCTTGACATTTAGATGGATTGAGTAAGAGACCATTACCAACAGACCACCTTTCAATACGAGATAAAAAGTCATTCATTTCTATAGGATGTAAGGAGGTAGAAATCGGCATACATACAGTGAGATCGTCCGCATATTTTACAAAAGTGTTTTCTGTGTAAGATGGTAGATCATGCAGAAAAAAAAGAGAAGAGTAGAGGTGAAAGCACAGCTCCTTGTGGCACACCTACAGTAGGCAGTAGAGATGTTGAACACTTTCCTTCAAATACAGTGTACTGTTCTCTTCCAAAAAGGTAGGAACATAGTCAATTAGTTATCCAGCTGTCAGTGTCGATACTGATCAGCTTGTTAAGTTAGAGGTGTCTTGGAATAGAATCAAAAGCAGAAGTAAAGTCTAGGAAGGCTCATCTAACATACTTCTTACCCTTTTCGAAACCCGAACAGCAACGGCATCTAATGTGCTTCTTTTGCATTTGTAATCAAACTGATATGGATCACAGTGCTCTTTTATTACAGGTTGAAGTGGTTGTATCAGTAAATTTTCCATTATTTTGAGGAAAGGTGAAGTTATTGCAATGGGTCTAAGTTTCACATTTTTATCACCAGAAGCTTTCTTTGGTATAGGGATTATCTTTATCTTTCTCCACATTATCGGTAAGACATTAGTTGAGAAGGATCTGTTAAAGATATTCGTTAATGGATAACATAAAACATCAGCACATTTTTTAAAAGGAGGTTTTTGATACCATCAGGTCCTAAACATTGGGATGAATTAAGTAACTGGAGACATTTTCGGACATCATTTTCAGTGAAACCGGGAACACAATTATTCTTCAGACCCGTGGATATAGGGAGCATGATGTTAGATGAATGACGTATAAAGGACTTATTTAAGTTACAAATATTCAGCTGGTTATCGCTTCTAGTCTGCCTGTCCCCTGTAATTTCTTTAAAGAGTTTCCACATACTTGGAGAGCTTTTACAAGATAGGAGTTTTTGAGTGAACACAGAGTTGAGACGTCTAATCTCTTGGTTTATTTGACCATTTAACTTACAAACTTCAATAGTATTTTTCTCCTTGTACATCCTTTCTTTTACCCTCCATAGTCGTTTTATTTGTGGAGATGTAAGTCGATCAAAACTTAAAAAGAAGGTTTTGGTAGGACAGCAAATATCAAAACCGAATTTAAGATAACAGGTGATAACATCAGTTGTGTTTTCTATTGAGTCATCTGTAAATAATTCCCAGTTCGTCGTACGAAACATGTTTTTTAGATTTCGTAAATTTTCTGAGTAATTCCTGTATTTTACTTTTTTGGTATGGTGTATGTGTGTACTCTTTCCATGTTTACCATA